TATTCTATTCTATTCTATTCTATTCTATTCTATTCTATTCTATTCTATTCTATTCTATTCTATTCTATATTCTATAATATTTTCTATTCTATTCTATTCTATTCTATTCTATTCTATTCTATTCTATTCTACTCTAGTCACTTTGTGAAAGGTTGGTGTGAAAAGGGAGGGTCAATTTAAGATTAGCAGTTTAAGATTTAGGGATGAGACTGAAGAATGATGGGCTCGGTGGAAGCTAAGGCTTTTTCAGCTCAAGCACAGCTTGCCCTCCAGCATTCAATGGTAGACTACCACTATCCAGGGAGGCTCCTCTGAAAGGTGGTGGCGGCGACAGTTACCTCCAGACGGTGCGTGGTCCTCTCGGCCGACCTGAGACCCGCCAAAAAGCGAGGCGCAGCTGGGCCAGATGAAAAGGCCGAAGGAGACAAGGAGAATCTGGAGAGGGAAAGAGACGTGGGTGATGGGAGGGGGATCCCCGGGGACCCGGCGCTCCACGCCCCAAGGCCACCTACCACGAGGCAGGTGCTCGTCTGGACCGCCTTGGCAGACGTCTGCTTCAGGAGGCCCTGCAGCTTCTGCAGCTGGTCCAGAAGTGACCTGCAAGAGGAGAGGCCACAGCGTTGGAGTGTCCTGCCCAGCAGGGGCCAGGAATCATGGCACGCCATCTGGGACGGGGTCACAGGTGGGCACGAGGCCGGTAAGGAGTGCGTGCCACCTGGAGGTGGGCGTTCTTCCCCAGCCACCTTCTGAGCAGGAAGGTCTTCTCCCAGCCTTCCTTCCCTCTCTGGCTTTCTTGTCTCCAAAGTTTCTTTATGCTTCTTGCTAGGCTCAAAATAGCTTGCCACAGATTGGAAGGAAAGCAAAGAGAGAGGGAGGAAGGAAGGAAGGAAGGAAGGAAGGAAGGAAGGAAGGAAGGAAGGAAGGAAGGAAGGAAGGAAGGAAGGAAGAAGTAAGGAAAGAAAGGAAGGAAAAGAAAGAAGGAAGGAAAAGAAAGAGAAGGAAAGAAGGGAGGGAGGAAGGGAAGGAATGCTCTACCAATTGACACGAAATAAGATTTTGTAATGGAACACATGATGGAAGATATGGAGACATCCAACTTGAAGGCTGTTGGCTAAAGGAAACCTCCCTATCCAGGACCAGTCTACCGGCACAGGTCAGATGCCATGAAAGAGAGAGATCGACTCTGTTTACAGGCTTCTTGGAAGCACCTTGAGGTCCTCCTCTGGAAACAGAAAACTTACTCCTGATCGAGTCGTGCGTCTAGTTACGGGACAGCACCCCAGTCAGGATCTCGGGGGTCTTGGGGGGCAGCCAAGAATGGACAGAAAAGCCAGGAAAACCGTCAACCCACTCACTCTTTATGGTTCTCCAATTGCTGGACCTTCTTCTTCAGATCCTGGTTCTGGGCCGAACAAGCAGCCACCCTGCCAAGAAAGCAGAGCAGCGAACGTGGGTTCTCCTTTCCTGCCTCTCAGCTTCCGGCTCCCCGGCACTCCCTGGACTACAATTCCCATCCCCAACCTCCTAGCCGCTGTGGCTGATGAGACACGGAGTTGCCCCACCGCTCCTCCGACTGCCCTGCGGTCCCCAGGAGGCCTTTCCTTGTCCTTCCTTTCCTGGAGCTCAAACGTTGACCCCCAGCCTCCCTGACTAAGGGCCGGGGCCGATGGGAATTGGAGTGGCGCAGGCTTCCTGGGGCTGGGGGAACGGGAAATCCAGAGTAATGGGGATCTGGTACAGTAGGGAAGTCACGTCTATTTCCACCAAATTCGGAGACCCACGGATCCTCTTCTAACCACGATCGGGTGAGCATCGGAGAACCACCCGGTGGGAAAAAGAACGAGCAATCGCCCAGGTTGCCAACCCCGTAGCCCCCCTTCTCACCGGCTCTCCAGCCCATCCAGATATTCCTTCTTGCGCCGGCGGCTGTCCTGGGCAGACTGCTTGTTGCGAATTTTCCTCCGTATTTTCTTGAGGATCCGCTCTTCCGCCTGCGGGGAGGACCCAGAGAGCAGGGCTGAAGCCCGCCGGGGGTCCCGCCTGACCCGCTTTTCCCTGGCCAGGACGGTCTGGTGGGATTCACGCTCCGGGAGCCCACCGCAAGCCCCCGAGGGTGGGTTTTCGGACCCACCCAGCTCGCTTCCCACAACCAAAATCCTGCTTAGGAATCGGGGGGGGGCAGCTTTTTGCCTGGGGCCTGAAGGGGGGGCTGCTGGAGCCCCCTCGAAGCAGTGGGATCCTCTCTCTGCTAGGTTCTCCTCCTCCTGGAGGGCTGTCTGTGCCATTGTGAACAGGAGGGGGGTCCCCTGCCTCTGCCCCGCGACCCACCTGGGAGAGGTGTAGGGCATCGCGCAGCAAGACGCCCTCCTGGCGTAGCAGACGCCTCTCCTCGTCCGTCAGGAGCAGGCCGGGGTGCCGGAGCTGTTCCGAGCGGAAACTGATGAGCGGAGAAAGGGGAAGGGGGTCCGCGCCCTTTTCCTTAAGGGTTTCAAACGGTGGAATACAAGCCAAGGAGGACGAAGACGACGTAAAAGAGAAAAGAGGGCGGAAGAGAAGAAGAAAGGGGGAAATCGAGAGCGCGAAAAGAAAAAGCAGGAAGAAATAGAAAGTTGCCCTTTCCAGCAAGCCTAACTACAAATACAATGTGCCACCCCATTTCCAAGCACATTTTGGGGGTTTGGGGACCCATCTGGAGAGGAGGAGGAGGAGGAGGAGGAGGGGGAGGTGGTCTGGTTATCTCAACTGCCAGGATTTTCCTCGGCTGGAATAGGGGAGAGGGCCTCTGCCCATGCACTAAAAGCGTTTCCCAACTCTTAGGGAGTCATCCCAGCCAGCAAAGCAAAACCGAAACCGAAACCAAGCACGTGGTGTGGGGGCCCTCTGGTGGTGCAACGGGGGAATTACAGGGCCACTTGCCCGACCAATAGGGAAGCTTCGTGACCGCAATAGGCTGCAGAGGATCACGTGACCCTTCCCAACCCGATAAATGTTTTCGGCAGGTGGGTGGTTGGTAAAAATCAGGCGTTTTTTAACAAAGCCCCCAGCCTCAATTCAGTTGTGCCTATGAAGTCCTCCAGGACATAGAGCGGGAAGGAAAGAGCAGCCAGCAGAGCAGGCCTCTCCATTGCAGAACTCACTGGTGGGCCCTGGCCGCCCCGCACCCACCCTCTGTACACTGACTGGGTGCTGTGCGCAGGCTTCACCTTCTGCCTGCGGGACAGGGTGCAACTCCCGTTACCATAGTTTCAATGTTTCTCCAACTTGGCAACTTTAAAAAAACCTCGAGTCTCTAATCGCACAAAAAAATACAGAATGGACGGATATTCTTGGGCT